TTGAGATTCATTCCCCCCCCCTCTATGTGGCCCTTTGATTTCCTCCCCCTGGTTCCTTTTCCCTTCCCTATGTCTCTTCAATTTTCCCCTCCTAGTTCTTCTTCCCGTGGCCTATTCTGGTCCCCTGGCTGTTGGTTCCGTTTCCCTCTGCTGCCCCTTCGGTTCCTCCCCTGGTTGCCTGTCCCGTGGTTGCTTTTCTCGATTTTTTGTGGCCTTTTCGGGTGCTGTTCTGGAATGATTTCTGGCCTTCTAGTTCCCCTTACCTGATTGGTTCGGTTGGAGGTTGAATGGCATTGTGGTTGCCCCCTTTTCTCTTATAAATATAAGGTGTTTTAGCAAATTAAAAAAAAAATGTTATGCAACTAATTTTTGGATAAAACATGCGGGTTTCCATGGAAAGGCTTGCGAGCTTGTTCCATCTCTTCTACTCTTTTTTTAGGAAAGCTTGCGAGCTTGTACTCTCTTTTGTCTCGGTTTCTTACCTTTTTCTTCTCTCCGCATGTGACCAACCCACTTGTATCATTCTTCTTAATCAAGGAATGCAACTTTAGGTGCTTTTATTTTAATTGTGCAAGCGTCATTTTTATAATATAAAGTTGTATTTTATTTTCTTTCGTGTTATTTTCTATTTCATAGGAAGTGTGATTTTTGCTTGCAAAAATTAGAGATTTTCCTAATTTTTTTACTTGCATCAATTTAGTATCAGAGCAAGTTGTCGAGTGAATCTCGGTAAGTTATAATAGTTGTTGTGTGAGCTTAGGTTTGTTTTTTCCTAGGTTGTTTTTATTTTTTTAAGTGTTTAGAAAAATGAAAAAAAAAAAAAAAACATTGATCCAATTGTGGAAGAAAATCAATCAAAAGATCTTGAGATCTAAATCCCTTAGGACAGATGGATTCCATCATAAGGAGATTCAACAGATCTGATACAAAATGAATTATACAAACTACAGATGAAAATACACTTGTGTACAGAGCAGTACATGAAGAAGCGATTTCTACAAGATCAATTAAAACAAGAGCGAGAAGAAATCCTGAAAAAGTAAGCGGCCAAAATTCAAGAGCTAGATGCAACGCCTTCAGCGCATTCTCAAGCATCATCAGAAGATGAGCTCTTTCAACTAGGGAAGAATTGATGTAGGCAAAGGGGGGGTCAAAATATTTTGGGTTTTAATTTTGGTGAGTGTGTATTTCCTCTACTAAAAATCAGCTCATAAATGCTTAGCCACTACCAATGTTTAAAATTGTGTAATTAAGCCTCGAGGCGGTTTTCGTCCGTGAGGAGAGGCATAAGCCTCGAGGCGGTCTGAGGCGTAAGCCTCACGGAGACAGAATTGCGTAAATGAAAAATTAAGGATTTTAGCA